ATTACGACATCTCAATAACTTTTGTTTGTATTTTTTCATTAAAAATTTGATAAAATAAAATATTCTTGTCACCTCTTGTTTTATAGAATTCTTTATGTACTTTTAAACGATATAATTTATACTTTTTTATTGATTAATAAGGTAATTCTATACCTTAAGATTTTTAATATCGTGTAATAAAAAAGGTAACATGTGAAAATTTAATTATTAATTATTAATAAGGTAATTTCATACCTTTAAATTTTTGGTACGTTGTAATAAAAAAGGTAACATATGAAATTTAATTATTAATTATTATTTATTTAGTGCTAAAACTTGAAATGGTAAGTGAAAAATGTAGGTTCCGTGTATAAGGTAATCTCATACTTATTTACTGTCTCACACGGTATAATCTCATAATTATTTATCTCAATAAATATTAATTATTATGGTACCATGTAATAATAATAATAATATACCTAATAATAATAAAAATGTAACATGTGAAAATTTAATAATCATATGGTAATAATATGGTACCGCCCATTGACTTTGCATTTGAAAGAATAAAAAAGGTAACATGTGAAAGAATAATAATAATTATAATAATATGGTAATATTATGGTACCGTATTAATTATTATGGTACCGTATAATACTAGTAATAATAATAATAATATTAATATACGTAATAATAATAACAACAACAACAATGTAACATAAGAAACTTTAATGATCATATGGTAATAATATGGTACCCTCATTGACTTTGTATGTGAAAGAAGAAAAAGGTAACATGGGAGAGAAGAATAATAATATAGTAATATTATGGTAATGTATAATAATTATAGAATAGCTAGGAAACGTAATAATAAAAATATTTAAAAAGGTAAGTTCATTTTGTGCCATTACCATGTATAAAATATATTACCGTGTATAAAATAAATGAAAGTGTTACCTTGGTTTAAAACAAATGTATTCTCATGTGAAAGAATAATAATAATATGGTTATAATATGGTACCGCTCATTGACTTTGCATGTGAAAGAATAAAAAAATTAACATACATGTGAAAGAATAATAATAATATGGTAATATTATGGTACCATATAATAATAATGATCACAATAAGAAACATAATAATAATAATAATAATAATAATAATAATAATAATAATAATAATAAAGGTAAGTTCATTTTGTGCTATTACCTTGTATAAAATAAATTACCATGTATAAAATAAATTAAAGTGTTGCCTTGGTTTAAAAAAATGTATTCTCATACCTTATATGTTTTGGTCCAAAATTATAAATTATAAAAAAATTAGACGGTAAAAAATACAATGTGAAAAATATGATTTTAACTTAATTGTGTTTCCATTTATACTTTATAAGTATTTTAAATAAGATAATTTCATTACGGTTTTTGTTGGAAAAAATACATGTTAGTAATAAAAAATAAGGTGGAAACACGAATGTTGAAATGTTAAGTAAAACAGCTATGATTTTGCTGAAAAAATTCATTGTGTTTAAAAAATAAAAATTTGAATAAAAGAAAATAGAATAAGCAAAAAAAATCATAGTATAAATACGGTTATTCACAATCACTTTCGTAATTAGCTTCTTTGAAGTGCGTTTTTAACTACGCCATTCAAACAAAATATGGGGATTTTAACCGCTTTAAAAAATATGGATGAAAGGTCATCGCTTTTGATGCTAAAACTGAGAGTGACAAGAGTTTATCATGTTTCAGCCCATGCTAGAGGACCCGAATCATTGGTTGTTATTTTTTACGACTTAGATGTTAGTTCTTTGATTAATATGAATCTAAAATACATATACATTAAAAACGTTGTAATGATTGTTATACTCCTTTGTCCTTTGCATTGTTAATTTAAGGAGATCGAACACATGCGCAGATTAGAGATTCGAATGTGCGCATTTTCAAAGAAGATTTGATAGAAAATAATGTTTATTTACTGATGAGAGTCAAAGTACTACGCAATTATCAAACAACGAAAACTATCAATCGCCCTTTCATGCTACAATTCTTTAGCAGGACGAAACTTCAAAAGATTTCAAAAAACAGATTTCCTAATTTTCATTACAACTTTATGGGATTTGAAGAAAGAGAAATTTACTTAAATAGCACTAAAACATAATGACTTTCCTTAAATAGAACCACATGTGTTTTTCTTCCTAATGTAGCACTTTTAGTCATTATGCATTAGTCATTATTCAAGTTAATATTCGTCATCACAAGACATTATAAACATTATTAAGTGCTATTTAGAAAATAAAACAATTTGAGTGCTATTTAGGAAAATGACTTAAGTTTTAGTGTTATTTAGTGCAAATATTTCTTTGAAGAAATTCCAAAAAAGACATTTAGTGACAATGTGCTTTTAATGGGAAAGCGTCATTTAGATTATTATAATTAAATTACTTACACATATTCATATTACATTTTTTACGAAATTTTGTTACAGAAATCAGTATTTAGTCATATATGGACAAATGAATGTTGCAGCTTCAATTTTCAAGAGTAACAAATCATAGTGACTTGACGATTCTGATATGCAACGAAGACAATGTTCCCACAAATTATACGAATAATGTAGTTTATAAAGAAGTCTTTCGAAATCTATAAAGTAAAAAACTTTTGTACCTTAACATAATAAAATCTCAATATTCTACGGAGTATTAGAGTACGAGTAAATAAGATGTACCCATTTGAAAATGAATGAAGTTATTTGTACACCAAAAATTGTACACCACTTTGTACTCCGAAAGTATACACCAACATTTTATGATTTACACTGACACAAAATGTCTGTGTATTTTTTAAGGTACAATTTAGAGTATATTTTTTGGTGTACCTCTAACATGGTTGGAAAATACTTTTTGTACGGAGGGAAATACTTTTTTAAAAGATACTTCGAAACATAAAAATGCTTTTTTGAAAATACTTTTTGTACGGAGTAGAAAATACTTTTGAAACATACAGTAAAAAATTAAAGATGTAAGATTGAAAGAAACTATGAATAACATGAAAGATGTGAAAAACACCTGAAAACATATTCGTATTGCGCGTTACCATCACTAAAGTTATTTTCAAATCATTTTATATAAAAATCGTATAGAATTAAAAATAATTATATTTTTAAAAAACTACACGAATAGATTTATAAAACTAGAGGTGACATTACTTTATTACTCCCTCCGTCCCAAAAAAGTCTGTCCCGTTTCGAAAAAATTGCGTCCCTTAAAAAACCATTTTTACCCCTTACTTTTTCATACCCTATCTATCATATGATACCTTTTTCCTAATAATCTACACATCACATCCTACTTTACCCATCACATCAAGGATATTTTTAGAAAGTCAACACCAAAATATCCCTCCTTATTTTACCACTTTAGTCAAAATGGGACAAACTTTTTGGGACGGAGGAAGTATTTTATTAAATGGGCAACAAAAATACGCAACAAAATGAATAAAGTTCAATTAACCATGTGAATAGTAAATGAGAACATTATGGTTGGACGGAGGAAGCACTTTTTTATTTTAAAAATACCTATTTCAATACTTGGAAAATGTTTATTTAGCATATACGAAGGTCGTGCGTTGACCATAGATCAATGTAATATTTTGTTTTATTATTCACAAGGACCATAGATCAATATAATATTACTAGTTTTTTTATAATGCAATGCAATTTATTAATTTCCAAAAAATAAAAAGTATTAAAAAACACTATGAGAATGGTTGAAGATACTCTTAGCTATAATAGGGTGGTGCATGGGTTTCACACTAACTCCCTGCATTTAATATTAACGAGATTCAATTGGGTTGTTTTGTTGATATATACTCGGTATAATACGGAGTACTACATAATTTTATGATATACAGCATTAAATAATTAATTAGGTAGAAATCACTCTAAACAAGACTAAAATATAAAAAAAGTATCAAAATAAGACTTCTATATTTTTATTCTTGAAATAGGAGTTCACACTGTGGTAATGTTGAGGTAATGTAACACTGTACACGTGCACATTACTATACTTTTTGGTAATGTATATGACCACGTTTGGTAATATAATGTAAATGCATTTTAATATCTATTTCGAGAATAAAAATATTCTCGAAATAGATAAGTACGTGAAGTTAAAGCATTCACATTCTAACAATTTTATGCTCTATTTCTCTCATAATAACTATAATGCTAGAGTCATAAATAAAATGCTCGCAAATTAAAATGCACAAATTTATTATTTGTGTATTTTAGCTTAAAAGGATAATTTACCTAAATAAGACTAAAACCTAATGACTTTCTCAATATAGGATCATATGTTTTTATTTTCCAGTGTAGAATCGTTTATTGGTTATTATTTCAAATAAATGTACATCATCAATGAACATTATTCCTCTCCCTAGACATTATTAAAAACTATTTAGAAAATAAAAAATAATTAGAAACTGACTTATGTTTTATTAGTTCTATTTAGTACAAGTTTCACTTTTTTAAAATTATGTAAGACCATTATTTGAATTGTTACTTTACATATTCGCAAAGATCTTTCGGCATGGATCTTTTCCAAAGGCCTGTCTCGGGGGAGGGGGGGCTCCGAGTTATTGCTATAAACTTGGGAATTGTGTGAAATAGAAGGGGGCCATGGTGTTACGCATGGACTGCATGGGTCTCGGAAGGAGACCTCGCGTGAGCGGGACAAGCCAGTGGGCCGAGCCAGGGCTAAACAGACCGAAGGAGAAAAGAGTTTGGGCCGAGAGGGTCGTGAGAAGATACGAGAGCCGCGGACGAGGAAAGCACCGGGATGGCACGACGATTACGTTTTAAAGTAAATTAATAGTTTTAATATATTTTCATGTAATAGATTTTCTTAGGTGGACGAATTATAAGTCCCTTCAAGGGTTTTCTTTTCGGTTCTTTCCCTTGACGCCTTTTTTGAACCGACAGGGTAGACTAGGATTAGGGTTTCAACAACTATTAATAGCGGATGTAATCTCCTTCTTCAAGGGACGATAATCAAAAACCCTAATTACCTATTTGGAGTACGAAGGCACTCGAAGCCCTTCCCCACTTTTACGTATCAAAGTGCTCTCATTGAGAGACATGACCGACGCATCGTCCACCACGATCGAACTCGACGCTAGGGTTTGTGAGATGGGACACGCCATGGTGCAGATGTAGAGGGATTTGGAATTCCGATTCGAGCGGCTGGACGCAGCTCTGGCCACCATCCAGACTGCCGTCGCTGGCTTCCAGGCAGGGGGCGGCGGACGGGCAGGACGGCACCCGGAGCACCACGACAGAGGCGGGGGATTTCACACGCCGAAGCCCAAGCTCGAGCCGCCCAAGAGTGATGGAGCGGAACCCTTGCGGTGGTTATATCAGGTACAGGAGTATTTTGCCTACTATGAAACACCGCCGGAGGAAAGGTTACGATGCGTAATGATGATGCTCGAAGGACAAGCAGCTGATTGGTTTCGATGGCGGCGGAACAACGGCCTAATCGCGGATTGGGATGACTTTGTACGGAAATTCAAGTTACGGTTCGACCCACTTCATTATGTGGACTACGTGGGTCAATTAACACGGGTTCGGCAGTCAATAGGAGTCATGGAGTATCAGGCCGCCTTCGAGAAGGTCCTCACCCACGTCACCGACGTTCCCGAGCCTTATCTTCAATCATTATTCCATGCAGGTTTGAAGAACCACATCCAACACGAGATCAGTTTACTCAAACCTGAGACGTTATCGGAGTCCTTTGCATTGGCACGGGAATTAGAGGCAAAGCACCAAGCCATCGTGCATTCGGTAGGGTTGAAGAGTTCGTCGTGGGGTACCAACTTCAGTCGTGGCAACCCTAGCCGGGCCGTGTCCGAAGGAGCTGCCGGGTCAGTGACTAAGACGGCCCAGATCAGCAGCGGGGTCAAAACTACATCCGAGGGGCGAGAGTCCTCCAACACACCACCCGTCAGGCGCCTCACCAGAGCCGAACGTTTTGAAAAAGATGCGAAGGGATTATGCTATAATTGCGACCAAAAGTGGCACAAGGGACATAAATGTGGGCGGTTCATTCTGATCATGGGTGAAGACGATGGGGAGGAGGAGGAACCCGAAGAAGATGAAGAAATTGAGGTCGCCGCCGACATCTCGAGTTTGAACAGTATGTCGGGGGTCACCACTCCTCGGTCCCTGCGACTCACGGGCAAGATTGGGCAACAGGGGCTGGATGTTTTAATCGACGGGGGAAGCACACACAATTTTGTGCATCCCCTCACGGTGGAAAAATTAGGGCTAAGTTTGGAGAGAGTGGCAGCGTTCCGGGTATACGTCGGAAATGGCGACTCACTGTGCTGCACCCAACAATGCCGGATCGTCGCTCTAGAGCTGCAAGGCACAACATTTACAGTAGACCTGTACGTCCTCCAAATCCACGGGCATGATGTGGTCCTGGGCGTCCAATGGTTGAGGGGTCTGGGGCGCGTCCTACACGACTACGAAAAGGTGACAATGGAGTTTGCCTGGGGAGAACAGACAGTGACACTACGGGGGAATGCAGTGGTCCCTAAGCAAACCTCTTTGCACCACTTGCGGGCCTTGCATGCGCGGCACGAGGTAGATGCCGGAATTCTTCTCATGGTTGCCGAAGCCGGAGACACGAAAAAGGGAGAGTCTGGTGCGACACAAGAAGGACTGCCGAGGGGAATTGCAGCGCTCCTGGAGCATTTTGACGAAGTGTTCAACGAACCTCAGGGCCTGCCTCCACACCGTACAGCTGATCACCGGATCTATTTGCAACCCGGCGTGGCTCCGGTGAATGTACGAGCCAACCGGTATCCACATTTCCAAGAGGAGGAAATCGAGCGACAGGTGAAGCAAATGCTTGAACAGGGGATCATTCGTCTAAGCCGGAGTCCGTTCTCGTCGCCGGTGCTGTTGGTGCGAAAGAAAGATGGGACGTACCGGTTTTGTGTGGACTATCGCGCGTTGAATACGGTGACGGTCCCCGATCACTTCCCCATCCCTATGGCCGACGAACTGTTCGATGAACTCGGCAAGGCGCGGGTGTTCACCAAGTTGGACTTGCGATCGGGATATCACCAAATCCGAATGAATGACCGAGACATACACAAGACTGCCTTCCGGACGCACGAGGGACATTATGAGTTCTTGGTCATGCCGTTCGGCCTCACTAACGCCCCATCAACCTTTCAAGCTTGCATGAACCAATTATTTGCCTCTTATCTTCGTCGATTCCTGATCGTATTCTTCGACGACATATTAGTCTATAGCCCATCTGTGGAGGAGCATCAACAACACTTAGAACAGGTATTCACCCTCCTCCGCAACATCAAACGCTCGAAGTGTACATTCGGGGCGGAACAGGTTGAGTATTTGGGTCATATTATCACCAGTGGGGTTCTGAAAGCTGACAAAAATAAAATATCAGCCATGGAGTAGTGGCCCCGGCCGAGCACCCTACGGCAGTTAAGGAGATTCCTCGGCCTCACCGGGCATTACAGGAGATTTGTATGCCACTACGCCCAGATAGCCGCACCACTAACTGACTTGCTTAAGAAGGACGCTTTTGTGTGGAACGAGAAGGCCGACGCTGCATTTGAAAAACTGAAAACAGCCATGACAACAGCCCCAGTCTTGCGGTTGCCGAATTTTTCCCAGAAATTTGTGGTGGAAAAAGACGCCTCCGGAACCGGGGTAGGTGCGGTGCTCCTTCAACAGGATCAACCCGTCGCTTATTTCAGCAAGAAGTTGAGTCCCAAGCGGTTAGCCGCCTCCACCTACCACAAGGAGCTCTACGCCATCGTAGAGGCGGTACAACGTTGGCGGCAGTATTTATTGGGGCAAGAATTTCTAATTCGCACCGACCACCAGAGCCTGCGTGAGTTATTGCAACAAGTGATCCAAACACCGGACCAACACTTTTACATTCGAAAACTTTTGGGGTATCAATTCAAAATTGAGTACAAACCGGGGGCCGCCAACCGGGTCGCAGACGCCCTATCACGACGGGACGAGGCCGAACAAGACGAGCAGCAGTTACTCGCCATCTCCTCTTTGGTTCCGGACCTAATGGAGGCAATCCGGCGAGAAAATACTACCCAACCAGTCTGGTCGTGCGCCATCAGGAGCATGCCGAGGGGAGACTGGCCGAACCCTACACCGTGGTGGCAGGGACGCTTTACTACAAACAACGGATCTGTATAGGGTCGTCCTCGGACTTACGCCACCAACTCATCCGAGAACACCATGACACACCATTGGCAGGGCATCCGGGCACTCACCGAACTTTCCTACGGCTCGCACAGGACTTTTACTGGCCGCAGATGAGGGCTGATGTCAAGACCTACGTGCGGCAGTGCCATACCTGTCAAACAACAAAATACTCCACCCAGCCCCCTGCCGGGTTGTTGCAGCCCCTACCCGTGCCAAGCCAAGTATGGGAAGACATATTCATGGATTTTATAGTAGGCCTACGACCTTCGCGGGGCTATATAGTCATAATGGTCGTGGTGGATCGGTTAACAAAGGTGGTTCATTTGGGGGCATTACCCGCAGGGTTCGACGCTCATCGTACAGCTCACTTGTTCATTGATATTGTGGTGAAGCTTCACGGGTTTCCCAAGACAATTGTATCGGATAGGGATCGGGTTTTTCTTAGCAACTTTTGGAGAGAAGCATTGAAGGCTAGCGGGACGACATTGGCAATGAGTACAGCGTTCCATCCCCAAACCGATGGGCAAACGGAGGTCATGAATCAGGCGGTGGAGCAATACTTGAGGGCGTTTGCACAAGACAAACCCTCTCGCTGGATGGTCCTCCTGCCATGGGCCGAATACGCCCTTAACACCAGCGTGCACTCCGGATTAAAGAGGACCCCGTTCGAGGCTTTGTATGGGCAACCACCACCGACGTTTTTACCATATCGCCAGGGCGATAACAAAGTGCCAGAGGTAGATAATTTTTTGCAGGAGCGGGACTTTACTCCGGCGCTTGCGGGAAAATTTGAAAGAAGCTCAACGACGAATGACTCAAACGGCGAATAGGCACCGCACGGATTTGAAGTTCAAAGAAGGGGATTGGGTACTGTTGAAACTGCAGCCGTACCGCCAGTATTCCGTGGTTCGTCGGAGTTCACAGAAACTAGCAAGACGGTACTATGGGCCTTATCGGGTGCTAGCACGGATTGGAGAGGCAGCCTATCGCTTGGAATTACCGTCGGGGTCACGGATACACCCCGTGTTCCATGTCTCCTTGCTGTGGCCGTACTATGGAGAGGCACCCGAGCAGGAACAACTCGCGCTACCATCCGAGATCGTGCATGGGCAGCCCCTATCGGAGCCAGCGCGGATTCTCGCCGAGCGTCAGGTTTTGGTGCGGGGAAGACCGGAAAAACAATGCCTGGTGGAATGGACAGATGGGGGACGAGATGACGCCACGTGGGAACCATACGACCGGCTTCACCAACGGTTTCCGGCGTTACACCTTGCTGACAAGGTGGCTTCGCAAGCAGAAGGGAATGTTACGCATGGACTACATGGGTCTCAGAAGGAGACCTCCCGTGAGCGGGACAAGTCAGTGGGCCGAGCCAGGGCTAAACAGACCGAAGGAGAAAAGAGTTTGGGCCGAGAGGGTCGTGAGAAGATACGAGAGCCGCGGACGAGGAAAGCACCGGGATGGCACGACGATTACGTTTTAAAGTAAATTAATAGTTTTATCATATTTTCATGTAATAGATTTTCTTAGGTGGATGAATTATAAGTCCATTCAAGGGTTTTCTTTTCGGTTGTTTCCCTTAACGCCTTTTTTGAACTGACAGGGTAGACTAGGATTAGGGTTTCAACAACTATTAATAGCGGATGTAATCTCCTTCTTCAAGGGACGATAATCAAAAACCCTAATTACCTATTTGGAGTACGAAGGCACTCGAAGCCCTTCCCCACTTTTACGTATCACATGGATACTTCAAACTCATTTTCCCAATGGTTTCAACAATAAGTGCTTTCATGTACTAATGCAGAGCTAGGGCTTGGGATTGCAGCAACTATGGTGTGGGTGAGGGGTGATATAAATTCATAAATTAATCCAAACTTTTATTACTTTGTCTAAAATGTCCTCATCAAATGACTTGTTTTCAGTATTTTACGTGGGATGCTTCTCTTAAACAAAATATTCGATCCAATATTGCTAATCTCACTTTTGATGCGATATCCTTTTGGCTATATATATATATATATATATATATATATATATATATATATATATATATATATATATATATATATATATATATATATATATATATATATATATATATATATATATATATATATATATATATATATATATATATATATATATACACACACATACATACATACATACATATATATATATATATATATATATATATCGTGGGATGAGCTTAACGTTCAAATCGGACAAAATTTACGTCTTATTAGTTCTCCTACTACTCCACTGAGGGAGGGATGGTGCAGATCGAACATCGCCCCCTCACTCGTGGTCGTGATATATAGGTGCATGTGATGGCCGGCCAGGCCACCCCCTAGCTCATGGCAGCCCCTCTCCTCTTTTTCTTATTTTCTGCTTTTCTTCTCTTTCTTTCTTTGTTTTTCTTTTTGTTCACTTCTTTATTCTAATTTTTTACCTTTCACTTTTTTTGGTTTTTAATTTTAGGCTTTTTAAGTTCTCTGTTAATCAAATATTAAAAGATTAAGCAAAATTTAACCAATTAGATGATTTAATTCAATTATGTAGTTTCATTTTTCTTTCTTTTTTTTCACTTTTTTATTCTAATTTTTTACCTTTCACTTTTTTTGTTTTCCATTTCAGGCCTTTTCAGTTTTCTGTTAATCAAATACTCCGTATTAAAAAAGTAAGCAAAATGAAACCAATTAAATGATTTAATTGAATTATGTAGTTTAATTTTATATTTAATCTTGATGATATGATGAATAGTTTTTTTTAAATGAACTTTTAAATTTTATTGTATGTACTTTTAAAATTAAGTATCCCCGTTTTTAATTTCACTTTGTTCACATATTGCACACTTTAATTAAACATGAATGGTTTTAGTTTAAATTTTTTTAATTAAAATAGATATAATAATAATTGATGTAAAAAATTAAAGATTAAAAGAATATATAAAAAAATAAAGGGATGGAAGGGATAACGTACGTGATTTACACCCCTCAAAGGGGATGATACGTGATAGGAAAGAGAAACATTAATGTGGCTTTGATCGAGTTCACGGGAAGGGATGGTGTGATCCACACCCTTTATTCTAATGTTTCTATATATAATTTTTGTATTAGTATGTATACATACATATATACTCATTTAATTTTGTAAACTAATTATTCAGAAGAAATAGATATCGAAAAGAATATGTATAACAGATCTCATTGCATGCATGTCGATAGAAGATTTTATTAACTAATTTACCAATAATAATTATGATAGTGTTTTATTCAGACAGATACCCTTCTATCGGACAACTAACACAAGAACACATATAACATTATATGTTGGCACATATAGCCAACGACCCAAACTAATTATTTAAAGTTCATCGTGTGCAACAACCTTCGAATAAGCTACAGGTGCGATAGCGCAAGGTTGTTGCTGCTCAGTTTCAGGTCGTATTGCATATAATCTTCTGCATACATCGGGAATAGTTCCACCGCCATGAGCTGAGCTGTCAATTTTTTTCAGAAAATTACGGAACCACTTAACCGACCACTTCGGAGTTCTGGTCAGTTCCTTCGTGCTGCGATCAACGTTGTATAAACCCATTCTCACGGTATACCCGCTTTGCCATTCCAGGTTGTCTATGTATGACCAAACGAAATAACCTTCCACCCTTACTTTGTGGTCACTGCATGCATGCCCAGATCGAAAAATGTGGAGTTAGTTAGGGAATTGAACGAATGCAATATTATTTCTTTTCAATATGATTTAGATATTTTGTGCTTAATTACCAAATGGCGTGACGAACGTTCAAAAGATGTTTCTCATGATAGTTTATCCTCCATGCATCCTTGATTGCATCCTCTAGGGAGAGATCGATAGCATCGCCGATTCCTGCGTGCGTGCATATAAAAATGCTATGACCATCCAAATGCAAAGTATATGTACGTATATGTGTGCACGTGCGTACACCATGCACATAATTAATTACCATTTTCGGTGATATATATTATCGGGTTTTTGTACGTATCTTTGGTATATTTTAAAACACCAAGGATTCCTTGTGGGTACACATACAACCAACTTGGAGTACCCTGCAAATCATGTACATAAATCCACATTATAATATTGTACTTAGTACGTAATCTTGATTAATTTGTATTTCGTTCTAATTTTGAGACTAATAAGGCACGTACCTGTTCACCAATGGGTTTCCCATCCTTAAATTCTGCAAAGAATTGATTGAGAACAATTAAAGGCGTAACTTTTTTAACTAGACATTCTTTCAATGATATGCTTCGTTCAAAACATAGATTAGCTAGGCACATCATATATAAGGTAATTAAGGAACTTACGTGATAAAGCGACACGCCTATCAGTTAAAGCTCTGATATGATATGGATTAGGGTCAGGGGTAAAATTGGCAGAGGCATAAGTTGAAGTGTAAGAGTTAATGCCAACAAAATCATATGAGTTCTTCAACATCTGTTTTTGGTCCCATGTAAATTCTGGCAACCGTTTAGGGACTAACTTCCTCATTGTCCATGGATATTGACCATATGTCATAGGATCCATAAACCTAGTTAATTACATATTAATAATACTGATTAATTAATTAGTTCATAATTACGAATATATAATAACTAGCTAGTTACTCAATAAGTAAATATGAAGGAATGAAATGGAAGGGGGCATACCATCCATAAGTGAAATCAAGGTTCCTATGAGCCGCTTCAATGTCATCGTATCTATCTGAAAGAGGTACACTCCACGTCACATCCATTGTTATCCCAATCTTGCCCTTGGATGTTGGATCTATGTCTTGATACTACATGCGAGCGATGTAAATTTAATGTAATTGCATTGGTGATTATGTTAACGTTTGTTCGTCTATTTTGACTTGAAAAAATTATGAATTAAAGTATTATCTATTAATTTATCACCTTAGTCCTGAATAAGTTGACAACGTGGGCGTGGGCGAGGAGGAGATTATGGGCAATGATATAAGGTTCTGTGGATGAGTCACCGGCTTGGCATGCCCGATTCACCCAAGAAGAGCATCTCCCTGGTGCGGACGTACCCATTTCCCACCCGCCCATACTAAATTGGTATGGCTCGTTGAATGTGATCCAATGCTTCACCTGGCGTCCAAATCGTTGAAAGCAAAGTTCCGCAAAATCCTTGTAGTCAGACCTGTTTTCATTTGTTCATTCGGTCATTAGCAAAGTCACAAATAGGGGTATAATTAAGTAATTAAGAACATGGTCTCTTTTTGGACTTACACAATCCTTTCGCTCAAGAAGCCACCGTACTTGTCTTCAAGTGCTTGAGGAACATCATAGTGGAATATAGTCACAAATGGCTCCAACCCTAAGACACATGAGACAAAATAATTACTCCCTAGTATATTATATTATTGCTCCATTATAATATAATCCTTGGAGTTTTATGGGAGGAATGAAATAATTAATTACCGTTTTGTTTCAATTCATTGATGACCTTGTTGTAAAATGCTATACCTTCCTCGTTCACTCCTTCGCTAATCCTTCCACCTACAAACATTTATTCATTTAATTAATTAATCCGAGTGGAAAAGAATTAATTATACTCTGTAGGAAAATCTTGCAATTAGGAGGGACAAATCTCATGCTCTAGAAGTTAAAGTATAACCTTATTCATTTATTTATCAATGTTATAAAAATCAATTTTGTTTGGTAAGAACATGTGCGTAATATCCAATAATTAATGCTACGTAACTACTCAATCGGCTAGGTTGGGCATTCCAAAACCATATATGAAAAAAAATTTAATCTAAAAAGAGAGAGAGTACTACATGCAACGCAAAAAAAAACTAACAAAATGTTCATTTTGTATACTCTTTATTTTAGTTGTACGTTAAATATTCATTTGCGAGTAAAAAAATAGTCATTTTTGCATGTATTTTATTTTAGTTGTACATTTGTTGAATACTCATTTTTGTTTGTATATTTAATTAATTATATGATGAAGCGATATATAACCATGTCATCATTTTTCTTGTACATTTTTTAATTTATATATCATTTTACATTAATATTTGAACAAATTGAATTGAAAATGACTTTATTTAAATGATGTATTCGGAAAGAGAGATACTATACTTACTAGGGATCACTCTTGGCCATGAAATGGAGAGTCTGAAGGCATTCATTCCAAGTTCACTCCTCATTCTTTTGATGTCTTCCTGTATATATACTCTGTATTAAATTCACATTTTCTTTTATTTGTTCACTAATAAACTCCATCAACTTTCTTTTAATGAGAGCAATATGTGATTTAAAAATATTCCTTTCTTCCAAATAAAATTTGGCAATTCCTCTTTCAATTTTAAACAATTTTTTTAAATGTTGTGAAGTGAATGATTTTTGTTATGTCGATTACTAATTAAACGTGCATAAATGCTCGTTGCTTTAAAAATAGAATAAACCTATATATAATCCATTTGTTCTAGATAATTGGTCTGAAATCATCACACTTTTTCGTGCTCTTCGAAAAATAATTTTAAGTTTTAATATTATGCATAATAATCCCATTTTTTGTGTTTGTGTGCCTGTTGGGTAACTTTTAGAGAGATAACGGTAACATAATAATGTTTTTTAAATTATATTTTTAAAAATATAACATTATGTTCTTGTCGAAGATTTGAGTTTGTGTTTTAAAAATGTAACAATTTACAACTTTCTAGTGTCCTTTCAAAAATTTAACTAGTACTCCCTCCGTCCCAAAAAGCCTTTCCTGTTTCATTTTTTGCGCATCCCATAAAACACTTTTATCCCGTCTTTAATGCCAAAAAACTTTCAAAATAACTTCTACCCATAATAAAGAAGAAATTTTGTAAATTTTAGGCATTTTAGATGTCGTTAGAAGTGTTTTGTGGGATGCACAAAAAATGAAACAGGAAAGACTTTTTGGGACGGAGGGAGTACGTAGGAATAGATTATTGGAAAAACATAGTAGACATTGATATTTGTCAATTTTTTTGTGCAATACATAATAACTTTAATTTATTTAGAAGAGTTACCTTTGTGACATAAGACCACAAGGTCTTTGCCATCATATTTGACTTTCTATTTTTGAAGGGGCGTATAATATTTGACTATTAGTTAAAGAAAAATCGCTAAGTTTGTGTATGGCCAGTTGATAAACAGTCACGGCCCTTTGGCAGCCTTAACAAGAAAAAAATAGTTACATTTATTTGTTTTACATATATAAATATCCAAAAAAACATGTTATACTTCGTATATATCAAACCTAAATTTTTAAAACTTATGAGTATATATTATGTTTATATTATAACTCAACCATTGTATTGTACTTTCTCTGTGACCCCCTAAAAATATTTCTTGTTTTGGCTTTTAAGAGAAAAAAAATTCAAAGCGTTTAACTAAGGATAGATGACGATAATTGATACGAGTGGAGTTTGAATTTTTTTTGACTTAAATAAAACTTTCGTACTTCGTATTTATGAAAAAAATCAACTGCAAGATCTCCGTTGCTTCCATCCTCAGTCCTCTCTGCAAAGAAAAAAAACGGAGTATCAAAATAAGTATACAGATAAAAAGTGTATGGTGAAATCACAAGTCTCAATATTACCATATACATTAAATTCCTTATTAATATTTAGCTTCACATTTCAAAGTGAATGTTTGACAAAAAAACTTGTTGAATTAATTAAAATAAAAAATTACAATATACGGAGTAATGTTTAGTATAATCACTTACATAATTTTTCAAATTAAGTATTAAAGAATATTGTTGATCAAATATTTAAATTATAAAATGAATAAGAGAGTAAGAAAAAAATAGAGAGTAAAAGTAATGAATGAATGAATTGGAAGAAACCTGGATAGTCATGGAAAAAAGTGTCCAAAATACTGGGTCCTTTCCCCCTTTGGTTGTGAGCGCCTTCGATCTGGTCCATATATATCCATTATTATACAATTCATGTTTTAATTTTTGTATTTTACTCATCATTATTATAGATATTTAAACTTTTAAAAAAGTCTCTTCTACAATTTCTAAACCTACGGAGCTGAGTAATCTAAGGACCTTGCTACAGTGTCCCCACCTACGTCATCACGTATGACAATAGATACGATTTTATTTATACCGACACAGACAGTTATCATACGTGAGCAACACAAACAATTATAATTTGTGCATGTATAGAATTGTGTTTATTGTCATGCGTGGAAGCATATAATTGGTGGGTTTTTAGCATTACCCATAATCGAAATATATAGTTCTAAGTGTCGTCCTTTAATTCTCAAAACCAGCCCAGGTCTATTGTGGTGCGTAAAAGAAATAAAAATAGAAATATTTCCCCGCCTGTCCAAGAAGGGTCTAAACAGCCCTAACGGTCCGGGCCCATTTCTCAAAAAGTCTAAAACTTTTAATTGTTGAATATATAATTTGCACTCTGTATTATACTACGTATATATATATGTACGTATCATTTTTTATAAAAACATTGAAAACCATTATATAATTCATTTTAAAAAGGAGTAAAATCTCAAGTTTTTTGAAATCATTTAATAAAGACGGAGTTATAGTACTTGATAAGCAGAAGAGGCAGCTCCAAAAAAAAAGTGAGGTGGAAAATGATGAGCATCAATTGCAATGGGTGAAAACGGCCGCGACACGGCGGCGGCGGCGTTACTATTATTAGACGATGGCGGCGGCAATGATTCAGCTGCGGACGACGACGAGCCATGCATCACCAAGCTTCCCCATAATAGGGATAACAATAGCAATAATTGTTTTACTATTATTTTCATTATTATTATTAATTACGAGTACTATATATGGATTGAATATATATTTTGTTTTGATCTTATGTCACCACACACTACGCACACACATATATATACACACCCACACACAATACAAGTACCACGTGCGTGATCTCTATCCCCCTTTCTTACACCTACCCCTCATGTTTTCATATTTCTTCTTTGTGCCCGCATGGGTAGCTCAAATAGCCTGTTGATTCTAGGGTCGAATCCTGACAGTCACAATTTTATTTCTATTATAGCTATTTGAGCACACTTGAGCTAGACGGTCTCTCTAAAGACCAACCAGTTGAAATTATATCATGATTTGCTCCCTTACAATCCTGTTGGACATGGGTAGTGGACCTCCACCCGGAGTACGGTGGACGTTCCACCTTCTTTCTCATTTTTCTCATTTTAATTTTTGTGGTTAACGTTTTTAAACTTTTATCGTATATAGGGACGGATCTACTAAGAAAGAATTAGGGGCCAATGCCCCGTACTAATATTTGGTGTTAAACTATTCCTTCTTTTTTTTTTGAAAAATTTATATACTTTGGGTTGCATGCCCCCATCTAAATTGGGGTTGACCCCATTAATTTACAATTATGTATTCCCAACGAAATGAATGGAACCTTATCTAATTAAGTTAGTTTTTTTTGGATTAATTTTATTAATGTAAAGTATATTTTATTGCATACTCCGTATACTTTATTGTTTGTAATAAAATTATATATTACCTATTAAACAATATTTTACATTCAATAAGGAGACTGGACCTATCAAAAAGAAAGTTGCATGAAGACCCTAAGGGATACAAACTGATGTAAAAAGAAAATCTAATGTGAAGGAAGATACCCCTCCCTCTGTGGAGGAAGATGAAGGAGGATCTGATATAGGAAAGGAAAACAAACTAATAATGGACATAGATGAAGAGAAAGACCAATCAAATGGTCCCTAAGATAATGATGGATTCACATAAGTAAGGAGAAAACTGCAAGAAGAGTAAGACTTAACCTTTTTTATTTCCTAAATATGACTTAATAATGGCCTAGTGGGAGAAATAATGTCCAGTAATGATATATGTGAGAGATATTCATACAGATTTACACCATGCCCCTTATAAAGGGCATTTTTCTTTCTTGCAATGATAACATGCTGGAATATAAGGGGTTTACTAGCTCTAATAAACAATATGAAATAAAGAATAGAGGAATTTACTTAAATAACACTAAAACATAATGACTTTCCCTAAATAGCATCACGTGTGTTTTTCTTCCCAATGTAGCACTTTTAGTCATTATGCATTAGTCATTATTCAAGTAAATATTATCAATGGGATGCGGCGACTGAAAATGAATAAAAGGGATGCGGCGACTGAAAATGTTTTTCTTCCCAATGTAGCACTTTTAGTCATTATTCATTATCCAAGAGAACTAAAGAATAAAAGGGATGGGGCGACTGAAAATGAATTAGCCCATGAGTTAACTTTGAAGATGAAAGCCAACTATCTATTGAAATGCCAGCAAGCTAAAGCTGACTGGATTATCAATGGCGATCGTTACTCAAAAATCTTTTAATTTATGCTTGGCTAAAAATATGAAGTTTCATAATCATCTTTCCTCTTTAACCAATGAAAAGGTGATGGGATTAAAGGAAGAGGAGAAGTGGCTAATAGAGTACTTTTTGAATTCTATCAAAAGTAGTGGGGGTTGCTAAGGAAACATATGACATTAATGGTGAGATCATTAGTATGGGAAACTGCCTTGCTATTGACCCTGTTTGGCACCAGCGCTAGAAGTTAGCGTTGTCATTTCGAATATGCTATTCGACGGTAGCCTTTAGTGTTAGCATTTTCAGAATTAATCTACGCTATTATAATTTTATCTAAAACGCGATAACGCTAATTGAAAACGTTATATATTACCAAACAAGACTTATATATACGAACTCGTATGAACTAAGACTAGATTAGTACTAGCTTAATTATTATACATATGAATACTAGCTTCTTAAATAGTAAAAATAAACACGGGGTCTAAGACATTTAATTCTTCCACACGTTGCTATCAAATTTAATTTTAGAATAGTGCTATACCTCCTATACCACAGCATTCATCCAGTTATAACGTTTCTAAATTGATAAGTTTTAGTCATAAATTAAATAAAACTAATAATTATATATTGGTACAAAATAATTTTATTTGATTTATTTTATAAAAATATTATTTTATCTCATTAACATATCACATAAATTTTAATTAGAAATTAAAAGTTGTTCTTTTTTACTACAAAATCTAAATTGGTTAAATTATCTAAAATGGAGGGAGTATGAATTAGGTATATGTAACTATGCAAGTCAAAAGGTCAAAGCCCAATAATCCAACTTTATCGTCCTATTCTTTTCTCTTTTTTTTGGAAATATACTTTTTTTTTATGTTTTTATCTTCTTTTGTTATTGGTCATTAATTATTCTTACATTCAAAAATTATAATGGTTTTTAGATACATTCTTTTGTGTTTCTAAGGTCTACATTCATTCCAAAGACTTTAATATGTAAGCACCATGGATAAATTTGGTTATTTGAAAAAAAATGAAAGATTTTCATATCGGTTCAAGTGTAAGAAGTTCCACATTTCACATCTGGACCTTGGATTATGGAAACACAACTCCATTTTTAACTCTCTTTGTTGTAAAAGAAATACGGTAGTTCGCAAGAAACTTCATATTTTTATTTCTTTATTTCTCTTTCCATTTATATTTGAGTATTTATTTGACGACTAAATTAGTAAAGCTATTTTACTCTTGGAAATTTAATATCCATTCAATCCATGTATTATTACTCCTATAGATCAGAGATGGTTCTTTGACCCGGTTTCAAAATCTTGCTCGCATAGAGGTCATAAATTTGAATCTCGTCATCATCCAGTTAAAAAAAGCTGTAATTGCATGCAAGGATCGAGCAAATGCAACAGTATAAAAGCATTTCTGGACCTACATTAACAAGTTTGATTTTTTTTAGTTAAGTTGATTTTTTAACAAAAAAAAGCTTGCTAAATCAAAATAAGAAAAAATGCTCTCTTACGATGGATGGTGTATTTAACAAAGGTTAAGTGTCTGATTTGAATTTTTAGATAGGGAGCAGGAAACAAATCATATTCGGAGTATAAATAAGAAGTAATGAAAATTAAGTGGAAAATAATTTTTGTACGGAGTAGAAAATACTTTTGAAACATACCCGGAGTAAAAAATTAAAGATGTAAGAAACTCTTTTAAAAAAAAGTGAAATTTGCACTAAATACGACTAAAACATAATGACTTTCCTAATGTAAGACTTAAATTTTTTTATTCCCTAAATAGGACTTAATAATGACCTAATGAGAGGAATAATGTCCAGTAATGATTGACATTTAGTTGAATAATGACTACTTGATAATGACCAAAGATCCTACATTGAGAAATAAAAACATATGGTCCTATATTGAGAAAGTCATTATGTTTTAGTCCTATTTAGGTAAATTTCTCAAAAAAAAAGATACTACGTAAGAAACTATAAAATGATTAAAGGTAAAAATTGAGTGAGAAAACTTTGTATGCAACACGTGAAATGGGGTTTTTACTTTGTATGCAACACGTGAAAAAGGGTTTTTACTACGATATACTCTTTAGTTTGGGAATTGTAAATCGATCAAGCGTATTCTATTTTGTTTTCTTCCATATTTAATGACAAATTTTATGGTGGACTTAGGTCCATCATGGACCTTTATTTGAGTAAAATAAGTATTTTTTGTATATAAATAAGCATTTATTTTTTAAATAAAAAAAAAGTTATATGAGAAGATCCACAGAAATAATATGCATCCAAGGTGTATCAAAGAAGCACTCTATCGAAAGACAACATCGGATTTATGCACTCTTTTTCTCAAGTCCTCTCGTTTTCTCGATTTTCCATGACACCACTACCCATGGAGACTAATGATGACTAATGTGTGGCTAATGCGAAAGACAACATCGGATGGAAAAAAATAGAGTAGTAAAACTACTTATAATTTGTTTAACAATAATATAATAATAAGTTTTATTTTAAATAATAAAATCTATTTTTCTAAATAATAATGAGTGTGGTTTTTGAAAAATAAAGTAATAAAACTACTAATTAATTTTTAATAATAATTAAGAAAATAATAGGAAATAAATAATACTATCTCTGTCCCAAAGTATCTATCAGGTTTTGACTTTTTTAGTTAATCATTTTTAATCTTTGACCTATAACTAAATAAAATATATAGTGTATATTAATTCGATAAAATAATATTTTGAAAATATTTTATATAATAAATTTAATAAAACTATTTTTCTATCAATATCTATCTAATATCATTTTTATTTAGTTTAGGGTTAAAATTTATCAATTCTGAATGAAATGTACTCCCTCCGTTCCAAAAAGATCTACAGCATGTTTCAAAAAAAATTGCGTCCCATAATCTCCTTCTCATTTCTATTAAAAAACCAATTTTATCACTTATTTTTTCAAATCCTACCTACCACATCATATTTTTTTCTAATAATATACACATCACATCAAGAGTATTTTTGGAAAGTCAACACAAAATTATCCCTCCCTTAATTTTAACTTTAGTCAAAACGTGCAAATCGTTTTGGGACAAATGGAGTAATTAATATGAAGTAATAATAATAAGTACTAATATTTTTATAAAAATTACAGAAGTAAAATTACTTATTAATTGCATTAAATAAATAATAGCACTAATAATAAGTGTTTTATATAATACGTTTTATTTTTCTAAATAACAATTACTGATTTTTGTAGAAAAGAGTAGTAAAAGTAATAATTAATTTTAAATAATAATAGTAATAATAATAAATAAAAAATTAGTAATAATAGAATAAGAAAATCATAATTGATACGAAGTAATTATAATAATTAATAAC